ATCGTGTAGTAAAGTAAGGTAAGGTTATCGTGTAGTAAGTAAAGTAAGGTTATCGTAGTAAAGTAAAGTAAGGTTATCGTGTAGTAAAGTAAGGTAAGGTTATCGTGTAGTAAACAAGGTAAGGTTATCTGTAGTAAAGCAAAAAGGTTATCGTGTAGTAAAGTAAAGTAAGGTTATCGTGTAGTAAAGTAAGGTAAGATATCACAAAGTGAAGGTAAGGTTATCGTGTAGTAAAGTAAGGTAAGGTTATCGTGTAGTAAAGTAAGGTAAGGTTATCGTGTAGTAAAGTAAGGTAAGGTTATCGTGTAGTAAAGTAAGGTAAGGTTATCGTGTAGTAAAGTAAGGTAAGGTTATCGTGTAGTAAAGTAAAGCAAGGTTATCGTGTAGTAAAGTAAGGTAAGGTTATCGTGTAGTAAAGTAAGGTAAGGTTATCGTGTAGTAAAGTAAGGTAATGTTATCGTGTAGTAAAGTAAGGTAAGGTTATCGTGTAGTAAAGTAAAGTAAGGTAAGGTTATCGTGTAGTAAAGTAAAGTAAGGTTATCATGTAGTAAAGTAAAGTAAGGTTATCGTGTAGTAAAGTAAAGTAAGGTTATCGTGTAGTAAAAAGAAAGTAAGGTTATCGTGTAGTAAAGTAAAGTAAGGTTATCGTGTAGTAAAGTAAAGTAAGGTTATCGTGTAGTAAAGTAAAGTAAGGTTATCGTGTAGTAAAGTAAAGTAAGGTTATCGTGTAGTAAAGTAAGGTAAGGTTATCGTGTAGTAAAGTAAAGTAAGGTAAGGTTATCGTAGTAAAGTAAAGTAAGGTTATCGTGTAGTAAAGTAAAGTAAGGTTATCGTGTAGTAAAGTAAAGTAAGGTTATCTGTAGTAAAGTAAGGTGGTTATCGTGTAGTAAAGTAAAGTAAGGTAAGGTTATCTGTAGTAAAGTAAAGTAAGGTTATCGTGTAGTAAAGCAAAGTAAGGTTATCGTGTAGTAAAAGCAAAGTAAGGTTATCGTGTATTAAATAGCAGAAGGTTATCGTGTAGTAAAGTAAAGTAAGGTTATCGTGTAGTAAAGTAAAGTAAGGTTATCGTGTAGTAAAGTAAGGTAAGGTTATCGTGTAGTAAAGTAAAGTAAGGTTATCGTGTAGTAAAGTAAAGTAAGGTTATCTGTAGTAAAGTAAGGTAAGGTTATCGTTAGTAAAGTAAAGTAAGGTTATCGTGTAGCAAAGTAAAGTAAGGTTATCGTGTAGTAAAGTAAGGTAAGGTTATCGTGTAGTAAAGTAAGGTAAGGTTATCGTGTAGTAAAGTAAAGTAAGGTTATCGTGTAGTAAAGTAAAGTAAGGTTATCGTAGTAAAGTAAGGTAAGGTTATCGTGTAGTAAAGTAAGGTAAGGTTATCGTGTAGTAAATATTAAGGTTATCGTGTAGTAAAGTAAGGTAAGGTTATCGTGTAAAGTAAGGTAAGGTTATCGTGTAGTAAAGTAAGGTAAGGTTATCGTGTAGTAAAAGTAAGGTAAGGTTATCGTGTAGTAAAGTAAAGTAAGGTTATCGTGTAGTAGCAAGGTAAGGTTATCTAGTAAAGTAATGTAAAATTATCGTAAAGTAAGTTATATCGTGTACAAAGTAAGGTAAGGTTATCGCTATAAAAGCAAAGCAAGGTAATTTTATCTTAGTATCAAAGTAAAGTAAGGTTATCGTGTAGTAAAGTAAATAAGGTTATCGTTTAGTAAAGTAAGTAAGGTTATCGTGTAGTAAAGTAAACTGTAAGGTTATCGTGTAGTAGCAAAGTAAGGTTATCGTAGTAAAGTAAAGTAAGGTTATCGTGTAGTAAAGTAAGGTTATCGTGTAGTAAAGTAAAGTAAGGTTATTCGCAGTAGTAAATAAGGTAGGTTATCGTGTAGTAAAGTAAAGTAAGGTAAGGTTATCGTGTGCAAAGTAAAGTAAGGTTATCGTGTAATAAAGTAAAGTAAGGTTATCGTAGTAAAGTATACGTAGTAAAGTAAGGTAAGGTTATCGTGTAGTAAAGTAAAGTAAGGTATGGGTTATTTGTGTAGTAAAGTAAAGTAAGGTTATCGTGTAGTAAAGTAAAGTAAGGTTATCGTGTAGTAAAGTAAAGTATGTTATCGTGTAGTAAAGTAAAAGTAAGGTTATCGTGTAGTAAAGTAGTAAGGTTATCGTGTAGTAAAGTAAAGTAAGGTTATCGTAGTAAAAAGGTAAGGTTATCGTGTAGTAAAGAAAGTAAGGTTATCGTGTAGTAGCAAAGTAAGGTTATCGTAGTAAAGTAAGGTATATATCGTGTAGTAAAGTAAGGTAAGGTTATCGTGTAGTAAAGTAAAGTAAGGTAAGGTTATCGTGTAGTAAAGTAAAGTAAGGTTGACGTAGTAAAGTAAAGCAAGGTAAGGTTATCGTAGTAAAGTAAAGTAAGGTTATCGTGTAGTAAAGTAAAGTAAGGTTATCGTGTAGTAAAGTAAGGTAAAATTATCGTGTAGTAAAGTAGAAGGTTATCGTGTAGTAAAGTAAAGTAAGGTTATCGTGTAGTAAAGTAAGGTAAGGTTATCGTGTAGTAAAGTAAGGTAAGGTTATCGTGTAGTAAAGTAAAGTAAGGTAAGGTTATCGTGTAGTAAAGTAAAGTATATTATCGTGTAGTAAAGTAAGGTAAGGTTATCGTAGTAAAGTAAGGTAAGGTTATCGTGTAGTAAAGCAAAGTAAGGTAAGGTTATCGTGTAGTAAAGTAAAGTAAGGTTATCGTGTAGTAAAGTAAAGTAAGGTTATCGTGTAGTAGCAAAGTAAGGTTATCGTGTAGTAAAGTAGTAAGGTTATCGTGTAGTAAAGTAAGGTAAGGTTATCGTGTAGTAAAGTAAAGTAAGGTTATCGTGTAGTAAAGTAAAGTAAGGTTATCGTGTAGTAAAGTAAGGTAAGGTTATCGTAGTAAAGTAAGGTAAGGTTATCGTGTAGTAAAGTAAAGTAAGGTAAGGTTATCGTAGTAAAGTAAAGTAAGGTTATCGTGTAGTAAAGTAAGGTAAGGTTATCGTGTAGTAAAGTAAAAGTAAGGTATGTTTATCGTGTAGTAAAGTAAAGTAAGGTTATCGTGTAGTAAAGTAAAGTAAGGTTATCGTGTAGTAAAGTAAGGTAAGGTTATCGTGTAGTAAAGTAAAGTAAGGTTATCGTGTAGTAAAGTAAAGTAAGGTTATCGTGTAGTAAAGTAAGGTAAGGTTATCGTAGTAAAGTAAAGTGGTAAGGTTATCGTGTAGTAAAGTAAAGTAAGGTTATCGTGTAGTAAAGTAAAGTAAGGTTATCGTGTAGTAAAGTAAGGTAAGGTTATCGTTTAGTAAAGTAATTTAAGGTTATCGCGTAGTAAAGTAAAGTAAGGTTATCGTGTAGTAAAGTAAGGCGGTTATCGTGTAGTAAAGTAAGGTAAGGTTATCGTGTAGTAAAGTAAGTAAGGTTATCGTGTAGTAAAGTAAGGTAAGGTTATCGTGTAGTAAAGTAAGGTAAGGTTATCGTGTAAAGTAAGGTAAGGTTATCAAAAAGTAAAGTAAGGTTATCGTGTAGTAAAGTAAAGTAAGGTTATCGTGTAGTAAAGTAAGGTAAGGTTATCGTGTAGTAGTAAAGTAAGGTTATCGTGTAGTAAAGTAAAGTAAGGTTATCGTAGTAAAGTAAGGTAAGGTTATCGTGTAGTAAAGTAAAGTAAGGTTATCGTGTAGTAAAGTAAGGTAAGGTTATCGTGTAGTAAAGTAAGGTAAGGTTATCGTGTAGTAAAGTAAGGTAAGGTTATCGTGTAGTAAAGTAAAGTAAGGTTATCGTGTAGTAAAGTAAGGTAAGGTTATCGTGTAGTAAAGTAAAGTAAGGTTATCGTGTAGTAAAGTAAAGTAAGGTTATCGTGTAGTAAAGTAAAGTAAGGTTATCGTGTAGTAAAGTAAAGTAAGGTTATCGTGTAGTAAAGTAAAGTAAGGTTATCGTGTAGTAAAGTAAGGTAAGGTTATCGTGTAGTAAAGTAAAGTAAGGTTATCGTGTAGTAAAGTAAAGTAAGGTTATCGTGTAGTAAAGTAAAGTAAGGTTATCGTGTAGTAAAGTAAAGTAAGGTTATCGTGTAGTAAAGTAAAGTAAGGTTATCGTGTAGTAAAGTAAAGTAAGGTTATCGTGTAGTAAAGTAAGGTAAGGTTATCGTGTAGTAAAGTAAAGTAAGGTAAGGTTATCGTGTAGTAAAGTAAAGTAAGGTTATCGTGTAGTAAAGTAAAGTAAGGTTATCGTGTAGTAAAGTAAAGTAAGGTTATCGTGTAGTAAAGTAAAGTAAGGTTATCGTGTAGTAAAGTAAAGTAAGGTTATCGTGTAGTAAAGTAAAGTAAGGTTATCGTGTAGTAAAGTAAAGTAAGGTTATCGTGTAGTAAAGTAAAGTAAGGTTATCGTGTAGTAAAGTAAAGTAAGGTTATCGTGTAGTAAAGTAAAGTAAGGTTATCGTGTAGTAAAGTAAGGTAAGGTTATCGTGTAGTAAAGTAAGGTAAGGTTATCGTGTAGTAAAGTAAGGTAAGGTTATCGTGTAGTAAAGTAAAGTAAGGTTATCGTGTAGTAAAGTAAAGTAAGGTTATCGTGTAGTAAAGTAAAGTAAGGTTATCGTGTAGTAAAGTAAGGTAAGGTTATCGTGTAGTAAAGTAAAGTAAGGTTATCGTGTAGTAAAGTAAGGTAAGGTTATCGTGTAGTAAAGTAAAGTAAGGTTATCGTGTAATAAAGTAAAGTAAGGTTATCGTGTAGTAAAGTAAAGTAAGGTTATCGTGTAGTAAACATAGTTTGAAAAGCAATAAGAGTATAGCATTTTTTTTTTTTTAAATATACTAAAAATGATTGTTTATGCATGTATATTTCAAGTAGAATAGAATAAAATCGAAAAAATAAATTTTCCTTTTTATTGTTTTTTAATGCTAAGAAAGAATGAAAATATATGTGTTAGTTTTACTGATAAATTAAAAAAAAAAACTATAAAATATATTATATCTATGATAGTTTTTCTCTTCTTTCTTTTCATCTAATTAAAAAGAACAAACAAAAAGCATTCGACGCCATTCCTGTGGTTCATGATATCCGAATGGCTTATCAGTTGATGGTATCAGTCCACAACTTGCATTCATTTCACCGCCTACCCACATGCATGCAACTTGCAAATGATAACTGCTATCATTATAAAGTAAATAGCCACTTGTTCGATATTCAGCACATAAATAATCACGATATCGTAATGAATGACGAAGTTTGGTTTTTCTTCAAAATCAACAAATTATTATTATTTGAATTTCATTTTGTTTTTTAACTTATTTCCACTTTTCTTTTTTTTTTTTTTTTTTAATTTGCTTCTTTTCTTAAATTTCTTATTATATTATTTGTTATTTAATAAACAAATTATAAATTATTGAAATGATTAAAACATACTCAATAATGTAACCATCTTCTCGTGCAATATTACCTAATTCAATCAAATTATGGACATGTTCACGTAACTCAAACCAACGAATTCGATCTGCTTCTGAACATCGTAAATGATGTGTACATTCCATATATAATGAAGCACCTAATAAAAATAAATACATACCATTTATTAATTTAAATTAATTTTTTCAAAGCTTTCATTAATTTTCAAATTTATAGAATAAATATTTCAAATTTATCAAATTTCACAATAGAACATTCAATTCAATCAAAAGATTACTCTTACAAATATTCTAACAAAAAAATGTACCAAGTAGACCAAATCGACTATTTACTACCTGGCGTAAGCCAACTAGAAGAAACCAAACCACTAGCATTAATGTATAAGTATAAAATGATTGAAAATTTCTTTAATCAATTCTCTTTTAACAATCAAAAAATAAAATAGTATTCAAATTTCAAACTTTTTACTACCAATTCTGTCCTAACTTAAAAATGTTTTTCAATTTCTAGAAATTTATACTTGAAAGATGGGCGACTGGGAAAATCAACCTCGATCTCAACAAATGATTCTTATGTCTGTTAACGCATCCTAGAATAAACAATACTGCTAATACTTCTTCAATTACCACATAGGACGGAAATTTAAGGAAATTAACAAAACAAACCGATCGACCCAGGGTCACATGTAATCCACTCATTAGTCCACTAATCTAACTGTCAGAATTGTCAACCACATGGCTTCAACCAAAAAAAGTTTAATAGCATTAATCAAATCTGCTTCATCCCATTTTTATGTTATTAAGATCACTCGAATACTTTGACAAAAGTTGAATGAAGTGAAATATTTTATTAATTTATTACACATTCACATAACACTAACAACACGATAACAACAATATTATTACACCACATTTAGCTATAAATCGCAAAAAATCTCAAATCATTTCATTTCAAAATAATCACAAATTAAGTAGCATTACAATTATGCTCACTTATGGGAGTGCAGAATTCTATTTCTGAAACAATTTTAACAGTTAAAAGGAAACAATAAGTCTTATATTAAAATGCAACATGACAGAAATGAGAAATTGTGAATAAGTTAAAAATGAATGATATCACAATTACGACGCTGCCTATCGTTATCAATATTACCTGGAAGCGCGATAGCATAAATATCACTATGAAGCAGTAACAAAAATGGAAGCAGAGAGTAAAAAAAAAATTGCAACAATCTGGAATGTTCGAAGAGAAAATACACAATGATAACAATGATGCAATTAGAAGTTTGGAGAAGAACTGAAAGGTCAAAATCACTTAAAAAAATCATCACCAACGAAGACTGAAGCAAACATTTAATAATGAGAGCTTAATTAAAGAAGCTTTTCTCAATTTTTGTAACCTAATATAAAGCGACTGAAATCATATTTTATTTCAAGAGCATTAAATAAGAGTCGCATTAGACATACCAGAAGATTTACTACTCAATTTTGAAATTAACTGTTTAACTGAACGATATTATAGCTATGATACTCCACATTTATTATTCATCAATGAATCAGTAAAATCTATAGAGATAACGATAAATAACAACAGCTCTCTTCAACGCTACTCCTTTCTTATCCAGTATATTCTTCCAAATAAGTGGAACTACAAAAGTCGGATGCAGAGAATCTTAGACATAAGAATGTCAAGTTTTCACGATAATAAGAAGAATAAGTAAAATAATGATTGTTGCAGACAAAACAAGTATACAGTACATTTTTTTATCATTTCGTTGATATCTTTCAGCACGCTGCACACTTGATAAGGCGGAGTTGACTTTCAACGCTGCCTGTTCCACGTTATAATCAATTCGATCCAAGACTGTACCCTGACGTTAAAAACAAACGAATATCAAAATGTCCAAATATTTAAATTTGCATTAAACATGACAACCAGCTGTAAGATTATAACAAGTTTAAACCATTAAATTATTTAAAATTTGAACTCTGCAACCTTTCAAAGAAACTAAAAACTAATATTTTATTGTGAATGAGAGCATTCAAAGTCGTTGCTCTGTTTCAAAAAATTAAACTTTTTTTTACACTTCAAAAAATTAAAAAAAAAAAAAAAAAAAAAAAAACAAGACAAAAAAATACTATTAAAGCTTACATATTTCACAAATTATGAAATAGTTATTACTACAAAAATTTTTCAATATTCTAGCTTATTTCGCATACCTGATCAACAACCATAGAAGCAAGATCCTTAAATAAAGAATTTAACTCGACAATCGATTTACTGACACTAATCACATCACGTTCACGTTCCTTTACCATATCAGCATTTTGTAATAACAACTGTATTTGTTCCATGGTAAGACCTGAAATCCTTTTATATTAAAAAAATATATATATATATATATATATATATAAAGTAAAATAAAAGCATGAAAATTATTACAGAGAAGTACAGAAACTACATAAAAAACTGAAATTATGTTACATCAAATACATTTCTGCAAGAATTCATTAATTTAAAATCACTCTAATTTGGACAATGTGACCTAGATAATAAAATAACAGAAAATTGATGCTATCAGTTAGCAACACACTACCAAAAAAAGATCAAATTAACTAAGATTCGACTTATGGAAAATCTAAGCATAAAAGAAAGGATAAACTTATATTTCACAGTTAATGTAGAGGAAAATTGCCTCACAACATTATAAATATATCACTAACTATTGAAGTACAAACCATCGTGTGATGAATCGATTGGTACATCATCAAGAACTTCAGTATTCACCCAGTCTGTGGATGCAAGAAGATATGAATTGACAGTTTCTTTACGTGCTTCAATTTGTTTTAAAAATTTTGCCTGACTTGTGCGAAAGTCTCCAGCCAGATTACTCAGTGTCAACCGCAATGTTGAAATTACATTTCCACGTAATAGAGATTGTTTCGCGCTTTCAGTAACATTGGCTTTCTCAATAAATCTAAAAAAATGACTCGCCATAGAACTTATCTTGAAAAACAGTGATAAGTGCAAAAAAAATTCCACATATTTTAGAGGAAGAATAATCACTGGACAAAATGTCAAAACAATAAAATCAAGAATACGTTGTGTTATAAACTAATTTACTATATTCTTCAAATTACAATATGGAACCTGACATCATTTGTGATTATAAACTAATGAAATGATCACTGCTATATTAGCTAATATTGAATGTAAAACATGAAAGATTAACAATATGTTAAAAGTTAAATGGGAAGAAACCCGATTAAGCGTTGACAATGAGAAAACATTTCCGTAACTTCATCTGTACTTTTGTCCATTTCTTTTTGAGCCTCCAAATCTTCTAAGAAAGTTGGCTTCGATATGTGATTCTGTTGCATTTCCCGAATTTGCTTCAAACGTAATCGTATCCTGCGAAATTGATAGAAATAAAGAAAACTTTAAGGTTCAAAAAAAAAAAAGAAAAAAAAACTGATACGCTCTACAAATAGTCTCACTAATATTTCACGGAAATACTTACACTATTTCCACTGCCTCATTCATCTTATATCATGTAATCAAAAAAACGCTCCATTCCTCAACCAATTTATTGTTTTCTTTATAATTATTTATGTCAGTTTGGTCTAATAAAAAATCATTATAAGAAATTACATGATTTCTTATAATAATATGTTTACCTGTCACTCATTTCAACAGACCTGTTGCTTTCACGAAAATCCAATCGTGATGATTCACATACAAATAAACCGGCTCTTTTAGCGCATTTTTTGTTTTAATGTTAATAAAAAGTTAACTCAAGATATTTCTCTTTCAAATTTATTACTTTCTTTCGGGAAATGCAGAGCAATTCGTTCACCTCGTAAGTTCATATTGTGCTTCGTCAAGATAATCGACCCAGTCGGGCGGCACACGACTGGAACTCGAGATATGAACTGTTTCAGTTTCTTCATCCAAAGTAACCAAGGACATTTTTTCATCTGAAGTATTCATAATTACTTTGTTCATAAGAGAAAATTTTTTCAAAAACAAATTATAGAAATGTTTCAAGTTAGCAAAGCTTACTTACAAAAATGAGGCACATCAACCCTTTTACTAGATCGGATAAATGATTCCAAGTACAAACTACAGCTTTTAAAAGAGAAATTTTCAGCATCTTGCCTTTCGAGATTTATAATGCTATCATTCATATGGATAGGTTTCATCTTCAACAAAATATCTTCATTTAGCTGATAATTTGAGTGGAAATGATTTCTTTTCACAGGTTAATTTCTAGTTCTTTCAATGTTTAGTGAACAAACTTTTCTAAGATCACACGGTGACGGGTATAGATGGACAGAAAAAAAAACTACCTACAGAATCATATCGCTCACTGTACATCAATCGGCCGCATTCGAAAATGAAAAATATACTTTTCAAACTATAATGCTTGTTAAACTTTTTACTTTCGATAGCATAAAAATCAACACTTTGTTCACCTCTTTAGCAATTATTCTATAAACTGTTAAGGATCAAATTACAGGCAAGGTTTGTTAGAGATGAAAATGGTACCAACCAGCTGCATATGCAGTATTATTAGCAAACATGAATTTGTTGTGTAGCGCATTATTTCGAAGAAGAATGAATACTTCGGTAAGATTACGTGTTGAACCTGCTGGTGGTTGTATACTAAGTGTTCCCATTATTCAACAGAAACGAAATTGAAGATTTCGTTTCAATAATACTGTCAAGTGTAAGAAGATCGTTCCTCTGAAATTACCATCAAAAATCTTTAACTTTTCTACGGAGACTTGTTGGTAAAAAATTACCTTGAAAAGTTCAAAAGAAAAAAAAAAGAACTCTTATTTTGTGAAATATTACTCCTTGTTATGTCAATATTTCAATACATGCTACCACAAAAAACTTATCAGTTCCATTTTCGGCTCATTTCTCAATCACTTTCTGCTCTTACTATTGTCATCTGCACAACATTATTCCCTACTACGTCTCACCGCATCTCATCGCTTCTCCTTACAACTCAAATTTCTCTTACCTTGCTATTTTCACTCCGTTTTAATCTAGATTTATTGAAAAAGTACTGATGGACTTTGGTCGTACCTCAATAAATTTTGTAGAAAAAAGAGAAATAAACTTTCACTGTAATCGATTGGAGAAAAAGGGAATTAGCATAAAGATCAGATTCATTAATATATCATGAATTTAATAATCCTTTTTAATTTTTAAAAGTTTCCGCTTGCAAATGTAACAAAGATTTGAGCGACTCACCTGACTTACCTGAAGTTGCTCAGGTGTCAAAACCACCAATTCCAATCTCCTTTCACGTTTTTCACAATAAATTATTCCGAAACCGTTCATCTTACAGCACCTGTTTCGTTAGCTGATGGCACTTGGGAGTAAACTTTGTTTCGTTTTGCGGAAAGTTTTGAGGCGTTGAGAATAATTCATCCTTCTTTCAGTCTTAGTTCTCACTGTCACAGATTAACTAAATAACAATTAAACAATCTTTATGATATTTTTAAATTGCAGTAAATTGTCTAAAACTATTTAAAATTTATTTAACCAATAATTATTAACCAATAAAAATGGCCCATTAAATTTTGTATCGAATGTATTTCTAAACGAAATATTTGCAAGGGAATAATTTTTGATAAGAACTTGATAATAAATTTTTATTAAATTAATTTGTAATTAAATCTAAAAAAAAAAGGAAAAATTTTTGGACATTTGCAAATTTTAATGTCAAATTGTAATATTATTTTCCATCTAGAAAAGAAAAACCGTTAACTAAATGATTAGTTTGACTGATCATTTTTTTTTTTTAAATCTTCTCTTCTTTTTTTCTATGCAACTAAATGTTGCTTATATGTGCTTGACACAATGAAAAATTTTCAAAATAATAATAAATGAATGAAATATCAATTTTCAAACAGACAAAAATATATTGATGATTATATCAATTCATATTAAATCATTGGAAAGAATTTTATTTAGTAAATGTTTTATTGCTCATCGCACCTTTCATGCATTGTTCTTAAAGCCATTGAATGGTCGGTCATTTCACAAATCTAAGATAAGCAATCATTTGCCAAAAAAAAAAAAAAAAACATTTCTAAAATTATTTGATATCGTATAGTATGATCACTTAAGTAATTACTCATTACTGGAATATTTTGTAATAATTGGAAGTAAATTACTTAAATAATTCAAAAAAAAAAAAATCCTATCTTGTCACTAAAAAATCAGTTGGAATATTTTACGTAGCTAAATTATTTCATTAATTGTGACTGTTTGTTGAACACTCCGGTTATTTTTATTAGGTTTCTTTAAAGTTTTTCTCTGTTCAGTTAATTTAGAGTGTACGTAAAAATTTGAAATTCTGAAAGTTTACTCTTTATCAAATTTAAAATTTAGTTTGCGTTTTGAATTTTGAAATATCGTCTTTTTTTTTCTACAAAAAGAATCATTAAACTTCTTCATTTTTTTTTCCTTTTTTAGAAGAATTTGGATTAAATTTGAAAATAAAATGGAAAATTTTCAAGAATCTCTAATCACATATATGATTGCTTTAGCTCATCATTTTTATTTTTTAGCATAGAATTGTTCCATCTGTTTATCAGCAAACAACTCTTAAATTTGCTGTTTTTGTATATTCCATTTTTCTCACCAAGAATTTGCCTACACTTTTTTCAATCTTTTAATTTTAAAAGTATTATAAAATGAGCAAAATATTTGAAATACAAAAATCGGAACAGTACTCTTTAAATTTATTTAAATTCACAAAATATAATATTAAAATTAATGGTCATAATATGAATTATTGGACAGATTTTCAAATAAATGCAGAACAAAAATGGTTGCATCCAATATTTTTTTCCTGACAAAGCGTTTTTTTTTTTTTTTTACCCACAGCATAATTTTGTCTGCATGTTCTTAAGTTTCATAATAGAAAGTATAAAATTTTTAATTTTCAAAAATAAAAATATGATTCATATTTTTTCTAAGCATAGCTAAGCCTTCTGTCAATTTTTCTTTTTAATTTTTTCTCAAAAAAAAAAAAAAAAAAAAATGGAAACATTTTATTGTTTTCCTCTTCATTTGTTGCACTTTTACATAATTTTCATAAATCTCGTATTTTATTTCATTTTAAATTTATTTCATAATAAATATTTCTCGAAAAAAAACCTTTTTTTCAGGAACAAAATTATTTATTTAGAAAGCACAAATATATTTCATTTCAAATAGTTTAATATAAACATAAAGAGAAATGTATGTGATATCATTCAAACAATATTGAATGATTTGCAGTCAATCAACGTTTTCATTTTTTTTCATTTTTATTTCATATAAAAAAGATTTAATAAAATTTATGATTAATAATCATTTAATTTAAATTATTTATTGTTTGTACTTAAGTATTTGATAAGAGATTTTGTTTAAATAGATCAAATTGACAATGTTTACTTCAAAAGATTTATGCAATCATTCATGCACAATTCTTATCACAAGTGTAATATAATATTGCAGAAGTTGTAATCACTATGTCCTTGGACAGTTATCATTCACTATTTATTATAGCAAATGATCATAATATATGTTTACTATTGATTTAACAATTTGTTTGTAAGTTTTAAAATTTCAAAAATTGAAATAATCTTTTACAGATAATCTTTACATAAAATTTTATTGCTTAAATGTGAAAGTTCTTTTTTATTCCGTTTATATGCATTTATTTCAGTTTTCTGTCCTGAAGTCATCTCAATCATTCCATCAATTCTTCATTTTTCATCTTTCTCTCTCTCCCTCTCTCTGTCTCTCTTTTCTCTCTCATTGAACCATATATCAATGATCTTTCTCAGGTCTTTGCATCCCTATCACTTATAACTCTCGAATTCCTTTTCTCTCTTACTTAAAGAACTGAATGAATGATTGAATGAATGGATGAATGGGTAAGCCAAGCATCCTTTTCTGGTGAAACAGTTGCTAAAATTTTTTTCTCTCATTTTTTTCTCTTTCTTTTTTTACTTCCCAATAAATTTTCCATTTTAACGGAAAAGGAAAATAAAAAAGAAGAAAGAGATAATTTTATATTCACTGATTACTCTTATAGATCACTTTATCACCTGGCCCTAATAGAAGATTTCAATTTCTCTCTCTCTCTCCCTCTCTCTCTCTCTCTCTCTCTCTCTCTCTCTCTCTCTCTTGAAATCAATAATATAAATAACATTGTATCTATACAATAAATCACTCTCTTCTATTTGCACATAAATTTACCGCATGATTATCAATTGGAATGAATGAATGAACTGAATGAATGAATGAATGAATGAATGAATGAATGAACTGAATTGAACTGAATGAATGAATGAACTGAATTGAACTGAATGAATGAATGAATGAACTGAATTGAACTGAATGAATGAATGAATGAATGAACTGAATTGAACTGAATGAACTGAATTGAACTGAATGAATGAATGAACTGAATTGAACTGAATGAATGAATGAATGAATGAACTGAATTGAACTGAATGAACTGAATTGAACTGAATGAATGAATGAACTGAATTGAACTGAATGAACTGAATTGAACTGAATGAATGAATGAACTGAATTGAACTGAATGAATGAATGAATGAACTGAATTGAACTGAATGAATGAATGAATGAATGAATGAACTGTCATCTTCTCACCTGTTTGATTCATTTCCCTTTTCCTTCACAATCACTCCAACATGCAATGCAGTGCATTTTCGTCATAACTATACCACTTTTTATGTGTAATTAATACTTTCATTATAAACATATTTGTCTCATTTTGATATGTTTGCAGATGTAATTTAATTAATTTAATTTTTGACAAAATTTTTCAAATCATTTCTTGTAGAAATTTTCATAATTTAATTGTTATTTAAATGCACTTATTAATTTCACTTTTTTTTTTCTTTTTATTTTCGGTATTAATTTATAAAGTTTAATTTGATTGTAATAGTAAAACTGAATGATATTTAAAGAATTTATTTATAGATAATTGATAATAATGTCATTTATTATTGTCGTATAGTAAATTTTCTGATAGTATATTTTACTGAATTCTTAATTGCAGATTTATTTTGATATTACTGTGAATATATCACTCATTCAACGTCTAAATTCTATTCAAAAAGAATATTTCTCAAATTTCGTTATACACAGGTAATGTGAATGTCAACAATTTCTGAAAAGGAAATACAAACTAAAGAATAACGCTATTTATTGATTTTGATTTCTGCGTACCCTTTTTTTTTTTTTTTTTCTTTTTTTGTTGAATTTATGGTAAAGAAAAAAAAAAAAGATGGGAAAGAGTGAAAAGGAAAAGTCTATTTTAAATGTTGAAAAAGAAGAGGAAGAAGAAGACTTGAATTCAATGAGAAACAACTGTAGCACAACTGTTCGAAATCAAAAAACGAAAAAAGAAAATATCGAAGAAGAAGAAAGAGGAAGAGAAGAAAGAGCTAAACAAAATGATAATGAAATGGAAGAAGATGAAAGTAAATTAATGGAAGAAGTTGATAACTTGCTTTCTATATTAATAAACAGTTGTGCTGATAATGATAATCAACAGCAAATTGAAAATACAAAATTGCATCAAGAAAATAATTCCAATTCGATATTTACAATTTCATCAAATGATAAGGATGTGGGAAATTTTTTATATGGAGAAAAATTGGAAGAAAATAATTGCAAGAATGAAGTAATATATTCTGGAAAAGTTCAGGAAAGAAAAATGGATGAAAATAATTTCAAATTAAATTTAATCGAAATATATGATGAAGCAAACGATATGGAAAATTCTAATGTTGTGAACAATTCGATAATAACTGAAACAACAAATTTTGAGAGAAGCAATTTGTCGGATGTTTGTATTATGCATGCAAATGAGCAAGGTAAATTGAAAATGGATGCTGTGACAAATGTACAAAGCATAGAAATTTCGAGAGAACAAAATTCAGAAATGTCAAATATTGAAACATTGAAGAAAGATTTTTTAATTCATGGAAATTCAGATAATTTGGATGAAAAATTAGCAGAAAAAAATAAGAATATGGATAACATTAGTATGAAAATGGAAGATAATTCAATTGAAAGAACTACTGAACAATTAAATAGCAATAGCATTCAGGATTCGAATATAAGAATTGAATTGAATGATTGTATTATTAGCAATGAGGATGATAATACCGGAAATAGCATATTTTCGGAAAGAACTGAGCAACCTGAATTACAGGAAGTCAAGGAAAAGAATGAAAACATAAAGGAATCAAAAGGGGAAGAATTTGAGACAAAAACAGATGGGATAAATTTATCAAAATCTGACACTGAATCAGAGCAAAAGTTTGATGAGAATTTTGTCTCGGATGATTCTGTCATCTCAAATGATACAATCCGAGAAAAGTTGACACTTGTGAATAATGTCACCGAAGTGATATGTTCTGCGAAAATTTCAGAAGAAAATAATAAGCGAATCAATAACAATGAACTTGCTACAACTATGAATTCACGAATTGTGGAAAATTTTCCAACAAATGAATCGAAAGTTACCTGTGGTATTGAATTATTAAAAGATACTGAAGAATTAAATAGCTGTGAAGTAACACAATCGAAAAATAAATTCTATGAAGCTATAACCGGTTTCTGGAAGCATACAGCATTTAGCAAAAAACGTTCCGAAATTGCTATTTCAAAGAATTTACCATCAGAATTAACACAAACATCCTCAATTCATTCCAGTAAAACTTCGCTAACATCTACAGAATCGTTAGGCTCAGTGATACTTCCAGCTGAACTTATCAAATCAACCGGATCTGCTACAGAATCTATTCCGCATTCTGAAGATAATATTAACTCATCTCTCCTAGAAAACACTGTAACAGATGTAATTTCTGGTTCTGATCAGCAAAAAATCTTACTTAACGATCAGTCATTTAATTCTACACTTACGGAAAACTTAGTTTCTGATATTGATCCGGAAGCTTTGCAATTAACACCAGATTCATTGAATATCACTGATGAAATGATCAAGAATCCAGACGATTCGTTGGAGAAAATGGAAGATTCAAGAAAAATTAAGAAAGGAAAGGCTGAATCTACGAATTTAATGGTTTTTGGTCATAAGGTATGTTAAATTTCTCAGTTTTCTCTTCTAAATTTACTTTTTTTTATTAATTTTATCATTACTTTTACTTTTACAATTGCATCATTACTTCTACTTTTGCATCAGAATCCTTCTTAAATAGAATGCAAAATAATTGTAATATATAAGCTTACATTACTGTTACTGAATTTTAAATTCCAGGATAATCTATTAGTTTCATTCTTTGGAAAAATGATAAAATTGGATTAATATCATTTTTTGATGTAAATAACTTTCGACATTTTTGAGCTATCGTGAATGTCACCTAAAACAAATCGCTTTTTATTCTTTATCTTGAATTCTTTGATAATTCGAAAATTTCTCATTAAAAAATACAAGTTTCTTTCTTTTTTCTTTTTTCTTTTTCTAAAATGGCTCATTATCTATGAAATATATTCATACATACTAAAAGGAAATATTTTTTCATCTGAAATTTAGATCCATTTTTGCGCACTTTAATGAGTTGCGCCATAAAGGAATCATTTTGATTCATCTCTCAGCTCTCTTCTTATATTTACAAATACAATTCGTATGAGTTTTAAACATGATTTTTTTTTTTTTTGTCGTTATTCATGGATATGAATAATTTCATTCCAATTATAAGATAATAGTTTACTTATTTCCATTTCTCCTTTTTTTTTTTTTTTTGCAAATTAGCATGTGTTAATTATTAAATAATTTACAAACCTTCTAATTTTTTCAATTTACCATATTTTTATTATATACATTTTTAAATTTTAAAATGGAATTTTGTTGATTGTTTTGTTTTCAAAAAATTAGAAATGAAAAACGAAGACATAAAACAGTTGTTCACACTTAAATATTATTCATTTTATCATTCATTTGTTCAGGTGTATTATTTTGAAATGAGAAAATATGCGTTTATAGTTAAATTTAAAATTTTAGAGCATAAATGAAAGTATTGAAGCTAGTAATCTTATTAAATTTATTGTGTTACAAAGAAAGAAAAAAAAATTTTTTTCTCAACAAATAATATTTGTATTATAATTTAAAATTTAAAACTTAAACGATTGCAAATTCGTCTGAAAATTTATTTGATCATTTTAGCATCTTCAAATGTCACAGATTTAAATTTTGAAGCGCTAATATTGGATACAAATAGGAAATAACATTTTAACTAAAAGCAATATATATTCATTGTACTTTTCTAATTTATCAAAGAAACTAATGGATTGTTGTTCAATTGTTAAATGAGAAATGAAAAATTAAGAAGAGCTAATCTTAGATGATTTCATGTTAGCTTATCAATATTTAGTGATAAATGTTGATTGCATGTGTTATTGTAGTATCATTAGAGGAAATTTTTGAGTTACAATTTATATTATCTTCATTTATTACCTAATATTTCTCATTAATTTTTGTTATAGAATAAAGAAAAAAAAAAACTCTTACAAATTTTAATAATAACACTTAACAATTTGATTGAAATTTTAAACTTGAAAATATAATAATTATAAATTTTACATAATGTAAATGTGTATAAATATGAATGACAAATGAGCGTTTATTGTGTGACAAATAGAGGACATGGAATGTTAATAGAAATAGCGGTATTATTTGCATTTATTAGTATGTATACATGCATGATGCATGCATGCATGCATGTGTAATGCATTCACGACGTAATGAATGTTGACAATAATTGGGAAAGATGTAAAATAATACTTTCAATCAAAATAGGATTATTTTTATATGTGAATGAATGTATTTGTATGTGTGCATGTGTGTGTGTGTGTGTGTGTGTGTGTATGTATGTGTATGTGTATGTATGTATATTTGAAATTTCAAATTGTGAGAAATAAATAATTTTTGTGCAGTAGGTAGGCTTTTTTTTTGTCGTTTAATTGAAAAGACATTCTAAAAGTGACATTTTTCATTTTTTATTCGGCGTGCAAAACAGAGAATAAAAGAGAAATATCGGTGACAACAATATATTCTATCTAATTCTAATGCTATTATTAGATGAAATCATATTTCATATAGCATTTATGATATAATTCAATTCGTGTAGAAGGATTATTCTGTAAAATAACATTGTTATTGAAATGAATGATTTGATTTGACAATTGAAAATTTGGATGGTTAATATAAAGTTAATTGCAAATAAGTAATTTAACGATAGATAATGTTCATATCAAAATGATGAGAAGTGATTATCATTTAAAATTTAAAGCTAAAAATATGCCAGATAATATGAAATTGAAAATTTAATTGATCAATAGAAAAGGATAAAAGAACAAAAGATTGCTATTGGAAGTTTTGAAATTTTAATGGTATTTAAATGCGCACGTAAAAATATACCACATTTATACTAATCAAAAAAAAAAATAATAATAATAATAAGCATATTGGCGTGAATCTCTTTTCAATAATTAAAAGACTACAAATTGATTTATCACATTTATACTAATCGGAAAAATTAAAAGAATATTCAAGAAATAAAATTATTGAAGTGCTGAATTTTGTATTACTGAAAAAGTTATGGAAAGTAAGCGATAATTTCAGAGAATTATCATCCATGAGAAATTTACTATTTTAATAAATATATTTAAAGTATAATCAATAAAAAAAACAAAAATTTAAAAAAATTTTCATAAACAAAAAATTTAGCAGTAAATAAGTTGAAAATGGAAGAGAATAATCCGTCCATGAAATTTGATCTATTCAATTTTATGGAAAAATTTTCATGCATTAATTGTTCTCGAAATAAGATTAAAAATTCATTAATAAAATATGAGAAATTGATAACATTTCTTTAATAGTACATTTTCAAATGAATGAAAAAATCAAAAAGGTTAAAATTTGATTAAAAAAAAAAGAATTTTCTTTTTTTGTATAGAAAGATAGGTTTGTTTTTCTTTCTTTTCTTTTTTAAAAAGTAAGATGAAATGAATGAGTAATTAGTAATTAAGTATTACAATCATCTTTTTGTAATTAACCTTTCCATTTTTGATAATCAAAATTATTGTTGCAATGATATCTCAGTTTACTTCATTATCACATTTTTTTTTTCTTTTTTCATATTTATGATTTATACTTTTCCAAAATTGAAAATTTATATAAAATTACTATGATCATTGCAAAGCATAGCATATTTGTAATTATAAACAAAGAATAAATTGTAATAATTGTAGTACCATCGTAGTTAACTAAATAATATTTCATTTAATCTATAAAAAAAAGTTGTAATTTTGAACAGACATTAATAATGTATGATATGAAAATATTTTAAATTGATGAAAAAAATTTGTAATTAATTTGTTTGTATGCTATCAAATTTTGCATATTAATTAATTTTATATTCCAAAAAATTTTATCATTATTTCATTGTTTGCTATTCATTTTATCATCTTAATTTCATTAACAGTCAGTTATTTATAATCATTGAACATTGAAAGAATGAGAATAAAAATTAAAAAATATTGAAAATAAAAATTAAGAAAAAATTAAGAAAAACAAAAATACATATTAAAAAAAAAAAAACAAAATATATAAATTTATTAAATTTTAATAGATTTTGAGATGACTTTTTAAGAATTATGCTTAACTTTTATATTCTTTCTTTAATTCTTATCATTTCATCGTCTTTTCTAAATCTCAAACTAATATCATTGATATTTCTTATTTATCACTACGAACTTCCAATTACTGATAATACTTTCAAATCATTCGATTTCAATATAATATTATTTACATATACTCAATACTTGGTATCTAATCATAATTCCATGCTTAAAATTCAATGTTTACATATAATTTTACTGATAGCTAAGAGAGAGAGAGAGAGAGGGAGAGAAAGAAAGAGAGAGAGAGAGAGGAGAAAAAAAAAGGTCAAAAGAGTAAGTGTAGGAATTAGCGATGACAATATCTATCCTTTGTGGTTCTCAGGGTCACTGGTAAGTGTGTGTAGATCCAGAGGAAGCATCGTGATACCATCCTGTGTGACCTTCCCATTTTCATTGTCCTCAAGCAGAGAGAGAAAGAAAAGAAAGGAGAAGAAAGAGGGAGGGAGGGAAAGAGAGAAATTCACTTTCCTTCCTAATTTCAAATACAAAATTGCTATTTCTGTCATTTGTTGTCCGTGGAGTAAAATACTCTTGAAGTCAGTACATATAAACAGAGAGGTTAAAGTTCACGGCGGATTTTTTATTTGAAAATCAGAATGATGAACTTGTCCGTCCTATTGTTCTAATTCTCACTAACAACATGAAATAATTCACATCCTAATAAGGATTAATAATAGGTTAGATGATGATGATTGATATAGTTTACTTATCATTTTCTAATTTTTAGATAAGGAAATGATTGGTGGTAATAGTTTAACTTATGGATAATTAAAAACTATTTCTTTTCATTTAAATTCTGAGATATGAATAAAAATGAAATTGTTTTTATGTATTTGTATATTTTTAAATGTAAAATATATTATTGTTTTAAATGTAAAAATATTACAGATTGATTCGATTATGTTCGGATCAAAGAAGTATAAAGGGAAAGATAGCGGAAGTTTGCGAAGTTTCCGGCCAGAAAATGGTCACCATCACCATCATCATCATCATGTCTTCTCTAGTTTATCAATTCGATCATTGGTTCGATTCCTTTTTTATTTTCTCACTTATTTAATCATAAAAATTTGTTATGGATTATAACTCAATAAGAAAATCTTCCAGTTCACATCAAATATGATTATACAAATTTTTTGATTCTGAAATTTTGAAATTAAAAGAGTCGAGTGACGTTTTTTCTTTCTCATTTGAATTCTTGATAATTTAAGTTTTTAATTTCTGTTCGATTTCATTTTGTTGAGTGGTAGAGTGTTAGCGGACAGTAACTTAGAGAAAAAGTAAGAGAAAAGTTTGCTGAGTTTGCAAGCAGTTCGGCAACACAAAGTGAAGATTGTCACACATCACGGATGTGACATATTTAATTGACAGGATTAAGCGGGAGATTTTAAATTTAAATTTCCTATAAAAAACTTGTTTACTGGAAACATCACTGAAATTTTAAGTTTCCATACATGAGGATATGTATATTTTGCTTTCTTTCGCCATATTTTTTTTCACAACAACGTTAGAAATTAATTTTATAATACTTCAAACTAAATCTTTAATCATCAAAACTTGTGAATTTTTCGATTTTAATTTATAGTAGAGCTCTCAGTGTGGTTTTTGCTTTACTGATTATTAGCAGATGAAGAAAAAAGTATACGATTATCATTATCAGTGTTATGTAATTTTTTAATTTCTTAAATATTAGTATCATATTTTAGCCAGAAACGGATTGTACAAGCTTACCGGAAACAAGTAGAGCAGTAATGGAACCTAATTATTATGAAGTTAATCGGATGAATGATGATCAAGTTAATGCCGCATTTGCTGAATTGCTTGTGAGATGCATTTTTAACTTTTAACCAATAGATGAGTTTTTAATAGTGCTTTCAAAGACTTTTTTTTAACGAAGCATGACTGCTCACTTTGAACTGATAATAAAAGCTCAGAAGAAAATTTTTTTGGAAACTTTGAAAGTTGAGGATGGTTTAATAGTTTAACTAGAGAAATTTGCAGTAAGCATAATCGTATACGGACATCTGTTAATTTTCAGTTAAATTTTAGAAACAAATGAATATAAAAGATGAGAAATTTCGTGCCTTATTAGCTGATAATGATATGGAAAAGAAGCGACAGATGGTTTGTCAATCTCAGCGACTTAATATGGCTACTCAAGAGAATTCCAAGGTTCTTTCTTGAATTGTTCAATAGCCTGTTTTACATTAAAATAAATTAGAATGGTCGAATAAAAGAGCTCCAAGCAAATTCTTTGCAAATTAGCTCCAAATTCATGAAATGATGTGAGAAAATTTTTTCAGCGACCGATTGATCTGATTCGACGTGTTGAAAGAATGTTGGTATCGGGAGAAGAAGCTAGGCTGATGAAGGATGTATTGAAAGACTTGAAAGTCCAGCTTAGTGTTCAGAAAGTGGATTGGATTAAAGAGGTATGGTGTAATAATATTGATTTCAATAAATTTGTAACAAAAATTGGCTGATTATAACTTTGTGATGAATGACACTCTAACTTTAGCTTCATATCTTAAAAAGGAAAAAAAAATGAAGAAAATTGAGATTTTCTGCTTGTTTTTACAAATGAATAAAGAACGATTGACAGAAAAGTGAGCTTAAAAAAAACCAATTACTCGGTATAGGTTGTCAAAGTCAAAAAATTATAATATTAAAGTTTGGTCGCTTATTTTAAATAACTAGCAAAAGTTCATGTCCTTTGTAGATAAATTAGTTATGCTGGCAAGCAGTGTCTATTTTCTTTTCTTTTCATATGTTTTTATAGTTCGGCAATCAAGGTGGTCTTCAGTTATTATTCCACATAATGTATAATCTTATCGAATCCCTACGGTTATCAGAAAATTCTGAACGGGAAGAAGAATATGCTTTGCAATTGCATGACAGTGTCAAATGTTTGAAATCCGTTGTCAATACATGGGTGAGTATTTAAAAATATAATAAATTTTTTTAATTAGTATTTAGAAAAGAGACAAGAGGTTTTTATGATTATAAGTCAGATTTTTAAATGTTAAGTAGAAATTTCATTAGCTTCTTTATCTCGTCAAGTTGATTTTGCATATTCTTTTAAGCCTGGAATGGAAATGTGCTTTAGACGTCAATCGAAAATGTTTTCATGTTTGGTTGGAATACTTTCCGTGGCTTCTGGAAAGCCATCCTTGGATCATTGGGATTCACTGAAATTTGTAACAGTGAGTCTCTTGGGCGTCGTGGCTTTTGTTAATGATGACAAATTTGAACTCAAAGGGTAGGCTATTTTCGAAATAGTAAAATTAATTCTAGATTAAACAAATAAAGGAAACTACATAATAGTGTGAGAATCTGCATGATATGACGTCTAAAAATTCTTGATTCTTTCAGTTTCGGGTTTCTGTTAGTTGTAAAATCAAGTTTAAAGAAGTATAAGCCTCATTCATTTTATATGATGTAAAGAATATTTTGGATTTGCAGACGTGAGACGCTCTTACAAGCCTTAACCGAAGAAGCTCGATTACGAAAATGTGACAGGTTTAGCTGTATTGTTAGCTGTCTGAATAAGTCGAATCGCCTCGATGTAGTGGTTAGTTATAATTTAATTCGGATAGTTTTTTTCTTTTGAACTTTTTTGTACGAAATAATTGCAAAAAGATAGCATTTACAAATAAAATCCATATAAGCTGATCAGTTATTTTAGAAGAAAGCTATGACATTGGTAAATGTAATGCTGGATGTGCCGGAACCAGATGATACAACTACTGAGGAAGGTCGTGCGTCCGCAGAAGGTGCCTGGCAAATTCGGATGCATTGGAGAAGTGAATTCATGCGTGCTGGAATGTACGATTGCGTTCAAGTCAGATTTAATTTTATTCAAATTTTGATTTAATTAGATTCAAATAGCTCATATATTATTGAATTTCATACTTCACTGATATTTTCTTCGTCAGCGATGTCAATTACATATGAAAATGATGCTTTGAGATTATTTTCCCCAAAGCAATGTGATCAGAAATTTTCTTTTGTATCCACATAAGTAAAGATCTTAGTAGGGAGAAATTAAGCACTTATGGGTCAAATTAAGGAAGTCAAGAATTCTGAGAGTTTTTGGTAATGAAATTAGTTAGAAATGACTTTAGCTGCTGAATCAGTATTCCGTTTTGTGCATTAGAGCTTCCACTAGGACACTTTATGTTTACAGTTTTTGGAAAGTTGCACTCTAGAAGCAATCAAGAAGCAGTATGATAATTTCTGTCGGATCAAAGAAGCTGACTTTGCTGAACTTGTAAATCGATTTGAACAAATGTTCGTTATTCTTATAGTGCCATTAATTGTGTCATTTTGAAAGGAGTCACCAAAAAATGAATTTATTTAATTATACGTGACTTATTTTACTAGATTAGTGAAGGAATCCTGCATCGGCAATATATAATTTTTTATAAAATATGCAGTACTTTATAGAATATAAAATATTGAATCATTTAACAGTAATATATTTCAGAAAAGGTGAATATGAAGAGCCGGACTGCTGCTATAGCATTTTGCTAGCTGGTGTAAAGAACACTAGAGCTGAAGGACCATTTTTGAGCATTCTACAACATCTTCTTCTAGTAACCGACGACATTGGCGTGAGGTGAAAACTTACCAAACAAATAAATTTCGATTCAGGAAGGTCTTGGGTTAAATCTTAAATGTTTTATTTATTGTGAAATGTTAGATATATATTATTTCGACAGGACAGAGTATTTTCGACTGATTGAGAATTGCATCTCAGAAATCGTTCTGCCGAAAACATGTGTGGATCCCGATTTCCGTGGGAAATTCGAATTTACTCAAGATATCACCCATTTTCTTGGTCAGTAGACTTTTTTTTATATTTTATTGTTCTTAAATTCATGAGTCTTCAACTTATTTTTCATGTTCAAAAAGACATATTTAATATAATTCTCAGGTTAAATTGATCAATTGCTTTCAGACACGTTGGAAGATGGCGAAGAAGGAAGGCAGGCTAATAAACGTGTGGAAATAGCTACGCAAGCAAAAAATGAAGCCTTAGCCAAATTGAGCCAATATTATAGAAGGATGGAAGAGTTTGCTAATGAGGCAGAGCAGCTCAGAAAGCATGTAAGATCTTTGTGAGCCTTTGTATATTTAGGGTTTTGTTGGGTTCAATTTTAAATTCAAACTATGTGTCTTCTTATTTTTTCAGATAAATGATCCAAATGCACCACTTCCTCCACCAACAAGCCGTTTACCGCCACCAGATACCTGTGCCGAAGTATTAGATAAGTTAAATGTCGTAACAGGAGGTCCACCTCCAGCACCTGGCCACCAAATTGCTCCTCCACCACCACCGCCACCTCCACCTCCACCTCCACCTTTGCCTCCATCTCTTCTACCGTCTGGTAATTTTTATTTTAAATTTTCAGCTTTTTTGAAGTGGAATTTCTTATAAACTTTCAAAAATATACAATGATAATTTTTACAGGAAGTTGTCCTCCTCCACCACCACCACCACCGCCACCGCTATTGCTAGGTGGACAAGGTCCACCTGGACTGCCACCACCTGGACTCTTGAATAAAGTGGTAAGTCCTGAACTACCGGAATATCTAAAGAAAAAACCGCGTCGTGAAGTCAATGTAGCAATGAAAAAAATTCCATGGAGCTCAGCAACGGTAAGTCTCTCAAGTATTCCTGAATTCATATGAAAAATGGGACAAGTTGTACTTGGTTTTTATTCTGTGTGCCAAGTTTTTCCTTTTTTTTTTTTCAGATCAAACCCAAAGAAATCAGTAAAGACTCTTTTTGGGCGCAAACAGCGGAAGAGAAATTCGCGAATGAACGATTGTTTGAAACACTGAAAAAAAAATTTGCAGCGAAGTAGAATTTTTCAGCTTCATTAGGAATAAAAATTTTAATACTTGTTTCTGCAGTATATTCAGATATACTTATTGTTTCAGTATGAAAAATAATTTTTTAATGTATAAATGCTGAGATTCATAAATAAGATGATGATCTCAATTTATAATGATGATAATCGCTATGCAATTAATTTTATGAGTCAGTTAGAGTGTGAGAAACTTGTAGTCTAGAAATCATCTTGAATTGTTTACATAACGGTTTATTTCTAGTCGACAGAGTATCATTGCTGAGTCTGATTCAACAGCAAGTGGAAGGAGTTTGCCGAAGAAGAAAGTCCGTAAACCACTCGTCATACAAGACGAAAAAATTTTGCAAACTCTTGGTATTTAAAATTCAATTTCCAGCACCTTTTTGTTGCTAGATTAAGATCTTTTTAAATGGAATAATTACTAACTGGAAAGTATTTTTTATGCAACGAATTCTCTTTTCCAGCCATTTTGCAAGGATCACAGAAGATACCGCTAGAGGAGTGGAAACGGATTTTGTTGGAAATTGATGATCGAGTAATATCTTCGGGAACAATGCAACAGCTGAGAAATGCTTTGCCACCAACTGATACGTTGAAGAAACTTCAGGATTTAGCTAGTAACAAATTCAATGAGATGCCTGAAGGTGAACAGGTGGTAATTTATAGACATTTCATATTTGAAACAAATTAAAAGCAGATTAAAAGATTTTCGGGTTTAGTCTTTTTCGTGTTTTGACTCTTTTTAATTTGACTTAAATTTTCTAGTTTGCTGCAACACTAGCTTCAATAAAAGGATTGCCTGCAAGATTGGATTCTATGATTTTCATGCTCGAATTTGATAAAACTCTTAGCGATTTAAAACCGGTTTGTGTATCTGTGATATCGTTCAATATTTTGCTGTAAGATTATTTTTCGTGTATATTCCATTTCTTTAATACTGTCTTCAAATGCATTATTCGCTGCATAAGTTTAGAGCACAAAATATATGTTTTATAAAATGGTTGCTGATATTACTTTGTCATGACTATTTCAGACAATATCTGCTGTGATAGAAGCATGCGATGAAGTTCGGATGTCACCTGGCTTCAAGATGTTTCTAGAAATGGTTCTTTTGGTTGGAAATTACATGGGACACTCATCGAAAACATATAAGGACATATTCGGATTTGAAATGAGTGTACTGAAAAAGGTATTAAATGATTACTTTTGAATGTTTTGAAATGTTGCGGAATACTTCATATGTAACCAGAAATCACAATGAAACAACCTTCTGACCCAATTTCGAGAGGTTGTTTTTTTGTGATTTAACACAATTTTATTTGCAGTTAAGTGGTACGAAAGATATAAACAATAGTGAGTCACTTTTGCACTACCTCGTAAGTTGTATGTCTACCGAAGCGAATGGTCTATATGCAAACTTTCCGAAAGATGAATTCCTCCATGTTGATAAAGCTTCACGCGTCAATGCGGACGAAGTAGCTAAAGGCGTTAACGCTCTAAAAAATGCTCTCAATAAAGTGATTTTTATGCAGTCTTGATTTTTTTTTAAAATGAATCCAGTTGATTGTTACATTCAGTAATTGAATTGAAAAAGTACCTCATTGCTTTAGATTATCTTATGTTTTAATATATAGTTGAATGAAAAACATCAAGAACTTCACAGTTGCTGTGTGTTAATCGATTGTGGTGCTTTACAGGTCGAGAATCAGCTGAAGACGTTTGTCAGGCAAGCAGAAAATGATTTGTTCCCTGAAAAAATGGGTCCGTTCCTATCAAAGGCAAAAACAGAATGCGAAATTGTAGAAAAAGTTAGTTTATTCAAAAGTTTCGAATGTAAACATCAGTAAATATTTTGAATATTGTGGGTGAGATATCTGAATATCGGTTGCAGTTCTATTTCACTAGGATTTTAATGGCATTTAAATATGAAATAATTTGCAGATGTATAACACGATGAACGCAAAATGGGAGTCTTTGAGGAAATATTATTCATTTGACCCGAAAAAATACAACATGGAAACATTTTTCAGTGATTTGAAATTGTTTAAAGAAGATTACGAGGTAAGGGTAGAATGTTGAAATTGGAAACACTGTTACAGAATTTATGCAATTCCAAAACACAGACTCGACCTGCACATATAAAAATGATCACTTCACATGTAAAAATCCAAAAAATCTGAACAGTAAGAAGTAGGAAATGAATTGAATTAATATTCACCTTCTCTTTATATTTTATTCATTTAGAAAGTAATTCATGACATGGAGAAAATGCGTGAAGTAAAAGAACGTGAGGAACAAAGGAAGAAAAGACTACCATTAAAGCCCTTGCAACCAGGAGTTGCAGCATCTCCACTGAATCGCACTGTGGCAATCGAAGGGATCCTGAAAACAGGTTTGTATATAATATTATTATCAAAATAGGTTTGTAAGTGAATGTAACATTGTCATCTTACCTGTACAGCATACTTAATAATGGAATAATCATCCCGCTCTTAAAATAGCAATCAATACGATCGACGAAGGTACGTGGCTGTTAACGGAGATCATACCGCTCTAGTACGCTGAATATCTTATCACTAGATCTTCTAGCATACTTCTGTCTGAATTATTTGAGTAGTTCATACTAAAGTAGTTCTTTTTAAAAATTACTGGAGTTTTTGGACTTTTTTACAGTAGTAAATTCTTTCAAATCCTAATTTTAATTTCTTCATTAATTAACAATGGCTTTATTACAGAAGTGTTTAATAGGACACTAGAATTTAGGGTAATCCAGTAGATGAGCACTTGACTCTATTAATTTTTTTTTTTTTTGAGAATTGTGAGGTGGTTATTTAGTATTCGACTGCAATTTCTTGTTTTAGGAAGTTCGGCTTCAATTACTTTCTAAACTTTATTGTTTAAAAATATTTCAGGAAAACAGGATTTGGGTGTTGTGGATGAAATTGAGAAGATACTAGAAGCAGGATATTTAGAAGGAACAGAAAGAAGGACGCCAAGGAGAACACCACGTACCCGTGCTGGTAATCAAGATTTTGTAATACTGCATTAGTACATTGATTCATTAAAATTGAAAAAATGAAGCTTCTAGAGGAAGTCATCCACTATATTTCACTGGTTAGTAGTTTGCTATATTTGTACGGTTATAGGTCGTGCTGCAATGGAACGACAACGCTCGCGTGTTTCTGAAGAACATATGTCAGTGTTATCCGGCAGTTCTGGAGCATCACAGCTTCCAACACAGTATCGAATACGAAGAAAAGGGCAGCCAACATTACTTGTACAGGTTTCTTATAATTCTATTATCCTGGTGTTATAAGGATTTAAAATCGAAATGCGTAGAATTTCGATTTTGATGCTTAATTCAACAGATCAAAGTATTGAAATGGTTCATCAATATAGATTTATGACTGAACACTGTTCAGAATTTCCAAAAGAGTCTCAAAAACATTGCCATGGATTTCAAGTGGAACTGTTGACCGTCTAGCTGATTAGTCTGAATTAGGTGTTCGATGCATTGTTTTATTACCATGCATTAAGGTATCGTTATTGCTCGAATATTGAAAGTTTTGAAAGAAATTATGACGTTGAATTTAAAATTTCTTGTTTACTTGTTTACAGGCAGGTGCGGTATCGTTATTGCCGAAAGAAAATGAAAAGCCATAAATATTTGGTTGAAGTGTCCTTTTCTAGTTGCCTATTTATTGTATTTTTTTTCCTTTTTCTTTTTTTTTTTCTTTTGGTAAACTGTTTTTTTGGAAAACATTCTTGAGATATTCCTAAACCTTAAGTATTATGTCACTCATTCTTTGCTTTTATGCTTGCTAGTTAGCAATTCTATTAAGTTTGCTAAGAAAAATTCTGAAATTCTTTGAGATCGGTTCGGCAACGATTTATTTCAACTTCCATGTTATACATATACCATGATAATTGCTACATCACATTAGTGATCCAATAATTTCATACAATTGCCTTTATCAGCACTAATTCCATTTCTTATAACTGTAAACTTTATTTGTACATTGTTATTTGTCATCTCAGCGATGATTGTGATTGATTTGTTGTAAAGAATTTTGTTTCAGAAATATTGTTTATGTGTTACTAGCAACGGGTTCTCATTTATTTCATTTCTATATTGAACGCTGTATTAATTTCAGTTTGTTGAATTGTATATCTTTTCAAATTTGAGAGACCTAAACCCTGCTCAACTAGCTTAACCCTAATATTTTTCAAAGAGCTTGCAAAATCTTTTAATTGTCAATGGTTTTGAAAACTTAAAAAATATGGAGCATCTTTAATTCAGCTCTTGATATTTCAAAAAATTGCAATCTTATGCATTCTTATGCCTTCTTTCATTCTGTGCCAGAAATTTCATTTCTACATTTCAAAATATGTGCTACACATTATCTCTATATTAACAATCTGGCTTCATCGTAAAAACTATGATGCCTTTCTGTTTTCAAAATGTTTGTCTATAACTTTTGTTACATGTAGTGAAACAAAACTTGAATCATTTTTATATGTTAAGTGCTGTATTTCATATAAGGCCTCTTCTTTTTAGATATTAGAACGATAAGTTATTGCGACAGCATTTGGCAGTGATAAAGCGAAAGAGAGTATATTTAACTTGAATCATTCTACATATACCTCTTGAAATGGTGTCTCTTTTTATATTTTCACCATTGTACATGTGGATGTGGTGTATGTGTGTGGGTGTGTGTGTGTATGTGTGTGTATTCTTTTTCAGTTCAAATGAAATTACAGCACATAAAATGTGCATTTGCATACATAAGCATGCATATATGTTTGTATGAAGAACGTATATCTCTTGAAATAAATGAATTAAATGAAATAAACTTTGGCCAAATGATCATATATCTCACTAAATACTGCCACTAATGAATTTCCATCTTACTGTTAAAGATAAAATATATATGTACTTCAAGATGGAAATGGGTGGGCTTCGACTCATCTGCAAATTAAGGACGACAACTAATTAACTAGCTAAAGAATCAGTGACACGATTGTTTGTCATGATGAAGAAATAGGCTCCAATTAATTCTTCCATCTCTTTTTTTTTCGTCCTTAACATTTTCCAATCTGTCTTCAGTTTATTCGAATTGAAAGTCTCACATCTCAGAGGATAGATAGGATAGCATTTCTGTTAGATCTATCTATATATATATATATATAAATAATTTCTTCATAAATGGTTAATAATATCAAACATGAAATATTCTTCAATATCTCTTCTTCCAGACTCTAATTCCAATATTTCTAAGATAAATTTTGAATGGGATTTGAAATTTTCAATGATGGCCGTAATATTTATGAAATATTCTATATTTGATTGTTAAATTTGGTAGGTGAATTTTATTTACGTTGTATCTGTGTTTGTCATATTGTCCATCTAGCATTATTTAATATATCTTTAATATTTGGTCTTTATCATAAGGAAGATTTTTGTATGATAAAAGACATTCACGTGTAATTTATGAATTCATTTTTGTGATATAATTAGAAATACAAGTAAATCTTAATATTATTAATATATTAGATTGTTGCTACTAATAAATAGAAGTTATATTTATGGTTATATCTTACTTTCTTTTAGCAGTTATCAAATGTCCGAAACGGCACATAAGTTATCAGCGAAAAATAAACGTCAGAAGAAAAGGATTGTCTATGTCGATGAAAATGCTCCAAAACGACCTCGTACCGCTTATGTTCATTTTGTTAAGTGTGTTGCCCTTTCTGCATTCATTTATACTGAATGAAATATTACTATCAAAGCAATATGGAAAAATGTTATATTGCTGATAGTGATATCGTAGACGTAATAAGTATGTAGAAAAGTAGAAAATAAGCTCACAAAATGATGAAAACTTTTGAATCCAGTGCACGCAGAAAAGAATTAGCAGAGTCTGGTAGCCATGAAGCGCTGCGTCAGCGTAGTTTTCTTGCTGATATTGGAAAGCAATGGAAAGTTTTACCGGATGATCAAAAAAAGGTTGGCTTTGATTTTATTCAAAACTATAAAGCAAACCTTTCGAGATTCTAGCAGTCATAAAATTTGCATCTTCTCATTTTTTCTATAATAATATGAAGTTACGTTGGTATCAACAGTATTTATTCTTTCTCAGTTCTATGTTGACAAATCGGCTAAGGAACATGCGGAATATGAGAAAGCTATGGAAGAATACAAAAAAACAGAGGCTTATAATCAGTTCAAAGGTTTACTGATTTTTACTATACTGCAGACTTTCTTTGGTTTACTTTTTTTTTTGTTTTCTACTCTTCAATAATTTAATCCGCTTTTCTTTATCATTATTATCATAGCTATCGTTTTGCAAAAAGTGTGTAATCCGGGTTACTAAATGTGATTTCATAATTCTGTGCTTATCTGGTTCTAGAATTTCATGTATTCTTAACGATAAATAGGGTAGTAAACAGAGAATTCTCTACCAAAAAAGTTGGCTGTTTTTAAGTGTTACATTCTTTTCCAACCACTATATAAGCGAGGTCATTCTTTCAAATGTTTTCGTGAATTAAAATGAAGCGAATCAGTACTGTAGAAATTATTTCGTTCTGATATGCGAAATGGACTTTCAATTTGAAAGGAAATCGAATTTCAGTTAAAAAAGAAGGATTGATGAAGCAAAGGATGTTGGAATTGAAGAAGCGCAAAAGCGATGTGAAATCCGATGATGATGAGGTAAATCTCTTCTTGACTTACTTGGTTTTTCAAATGAACTTTTTTGTTCTGAGGAATAATTAGGATTTTAGAAGTAATTTTTCAGTTGTGAAAATAGATTTTGCTTTTGAGGAAGAAGACAAAAATGAAGCAGTTGTTGCGGGTGACATTCCAATATTCAGCAAGGAATTTCTTGCCTACAATAAAAGTATGGCCCAAAATGTCCGATTGAATTTTAACTGAAATTGATAACAAAAGTTCCATATTTAACTGTTCTATTAGAAAATTTTTGAGGTTATAGCCACTAAATTTTATTAAATGAATAAGCATTTGTTTATGTATTACTTGGGCTAATTAACCTTATTTTTCGTTACTTAATGTTGTTTATATGCATTATATATTTAATATTTTCTAGACCATAGAGCTGCCATATAATATATATCAATTTGTTTTCAAATCAGTTTTCTTTCTAGACCAGGAAAGTAAATGCAAAAAGTTAAGGAAAATGGTGAGTGCTCTACAAGAAGAAAAAGATCTCCTTAAAGCAGACATTGCAAAGTGAGCTTATAATTTTGTTCCTTAAGGTTCATTGCCACTGATAAGCACAAGTATATTTAACCTAATCAAGGAGATTTGATATCGCATATGAGGTGGATGGTTTTGATGATACAAGACTTCTGTTCTACATAATTCAGAATGAAGCTAACATGAACTATTTACATTGATATGGCTCGATCTTTTTGCTTGTTGGTTTTCGCATCTAGCAAAGTTTTAGAAATCCAAATTTTGTAGACTGTCAGAGAGGATGAAATTAGTACATGGACATCAATCTGGAACATTGCACTGGTCTACGAAAATAAAGCAGCGATGGACAAAGCTTTTGGTTGACGCTCTAGCATATGTTTCTGTTGATGGTAAACTTTGGTTATTAGTAGTAAAAGTTTCCACCACTTTAGTTGATAATTCATCAGGTTCGAATTTTTTCAAATTTATCTTATTTCGCGAACATTATAACAATGATCGGAAGATCTGTAGAAATAGTTTGGTCGTTATTTTTCATTTTTGAATTAGTATTCTTCTGTAGTATTGCTCTTGGTCAATTATTATTTTGTAGGAGAATATCCAACCTCACAGAATATTGATACTTACATGAAGAAATTAAAGCAATTAGTTACCGAGAACCCGAGTAGCAAAGATTTGATTGCTGTGCGAATGGCTTTGTCGGAAGTGAATTTTATATGAATATTAATTTTCGAATGTCAGTTGTGTTTTGCTATTGTGCATATAATTTCGATGGAATGAAATGGGATTAAATATTTATATTTTTCCCTTTCATCATGTTTCAATAATTGATGTATTATATGTATGACATATGCATTGTTTTTTTGTTTTTTTTTTATGTGATATCCAGAAATAATTCTTTAGATTTATACTTACTTATGCATTGCTGCTTTATGTACATTGTTTTGATATATAAAAATGTAATTAAGTCGGTGTTTGTGGCATTGTTTCGGTAGACTATCATATTCATTCAGATCCGTTATCAATATTTCCACAAAGAAATTTCAACCATTCCACTCTTTGCATAATAACATAGGGAAGACAATCCTAAGCAAATTACGAATATCTGTCCACTTTAGTTTAGCAGTTGTCAAATCCATCCAGTTGTTTCCGTTTTGAACATGAATCAACCATCTTTGCTTTCCTAGTGTCTTATGTTATCAGGTTTTAGTTCCTTCAGCTAAATTCTTTTCCCTTTATTTGCACTATTTCTTTCGTTAATTACAAGGAAGCAGATTTCTTTTTGACTTGAATCCTATGATTCAAGTCTCACAATTGTATCTTTTGATGCAGATCGTCAAGTTGACAAAGCGAATCCATCGCCACTACCATTTTGATCCATATTTCATCAGTATTTTCTTTATTGAATAACGGGATTTCTTTGGAATGATCTCAAGATAATTCTGGATCC